ATTAGAAAGTCCTTTTTCAACTGAAATGACCATCGAACGAGCAATGATCGGTTATCGAAATTTTTTGCGGCCACTATTTATTCAACGAATTATTTCTTGCTGGTGAGTTGTTGAAATTCTGGGGTTTCCTACGTACATGACGGTCAGGATTCTGCATAATTTTAATAATGTGTATTTTAATGAATATGAAAATAATTCAAATTAACTTCACCAATAAAATAAAAAATTTAAGCGCCAGGGTATTAAATCATTGAAGAGATTTCATTCCCACACCAACAGATATGAGATCTTCAACTTTAGGAAGAGAAGGACCTTTTGCAATTTGAAAAAAGTCAAAAGAGACAACATTGTTGATTATTTGTAGAAATTTAATTATGCAAGAGTTCATACGTATATGTTTGTTTAGAAAAGAAGGCTTATTTTCAAGCGGGAGGATCCATGCATACTTTACATAAAAAAAGAGTAGAAAATTCTATGAGGAAGTCTTAGAAAGTAACCTCCTATGGCCAATAGGATAGAATAAAAAAGAATCTTAGCGATAAAAGTGTTCAAAGTTGTATTATTAATTTTTAACAAATCAATTTGACCATATCCATTAAACATTAGTTTCAATCTTGTTTTCCAATCTAATAAAGAGTCCTAACCCTAAAAGGAATTAAAAATCTTCTTTTAGTTTTTGGATGACTTGCTATTGTTTCTTGTGTTGCCTTTACTAACATTGAGTTAATATTTTACAAACATAATATAAAACAATATAGGAGTTGTCATACTTTAGAACAAGCACAAAAAAATAAAATAAAAAGATAACTCATTTAAAATACAATTTACCTTTTGTTGTTTCATCTTTATCGCTTCAAGTTTGTACCTAACCATAGTGATGTAATCAATTTTGTTCTATTTTTATTTTCTTCCTTCGCCAATATTTTTCTCATGGAAACAAAATTTATGCACTATAAAAATTTTATCAACTTGAAAAATACTTTTTTGTATGAATAATTTGAAAAGGAATAGAACTGAATTCTTTTGCTTTTAGTTAATCTAGAAAAACTGAACTATTTGCTCTGAACATTGAAGAAATTAATTTATTTTTGTCAAATTCTTAGTATTAGGTCATCCAAAATTTTAGATATTTAAATGTAGTTATAGTTATTCAATATGAATTTATCACGACCCGAATTCCGCACTGTCGGAATCGTGATGGCACCTAACATTGAACCCGCTAGGCAAGCCAGCGTTACTGATTTGTTTACCTTTTTGCTTTATATTTTAGCAATTTACAAGTTAACATAACATAAACAGCGGAATAAAATGCGGAAGAACGGAATTTAACAATCTAACTAAATACTAATACGAAATCCATAATACAACTCCACCCAGAACTGGTATCACAATGTCACGAATTGTCTATAAATACTACAAACAGTGGTCTGAACAAGAAAATACAAATGCGTCTCAGAAATAGATAAAACAAAAGGAAATATGATAGAAGGGGACGCCAAGGCCTGCGGACGCCTGTAGGACTACCTCGGGTCTCCACTGGACTGAAGGCAGCAACCTCGAACTACGGTTTGTAGGGTCCAGTACTGGGATATGTACAAAAGAGTGCAGAGTGTAGTATCAGTACAACTGACCCCATGTACTGGTAAGTGTCGAGCCTAACCTCGACGAAGTAGTGACGAGGCTAGGACACAAAAACCATATAAACCTGTGCAATTTAATCATATACGAGAAGAAATAATAACAAGAATTAAACAGAATAAGACGGAAAAAAGGGAAACATGCTGAGGGGAAACATCCTGAATCACCTTAACCTTTTACAAAGCATCCTGAACCAAGTCTGTGCCCAATAATTTAGCCTCACCCGGCTCAAACCAACCCACCAGGGATCTATACCGCCTACCATATAATGCCTCATACAGTGCCATTTGAATGTTGAACTGATATCTATTGTTGTAGGCAAACTCCCGCAATGGCAAGAACTGATCCCAAGACCCTCCAAACTCAATCACACATGCACGAAACATATCCTCAAGAATCTGAATAGTGTGCTCGGACTGTCCGTCCGTCTGAGGGTGAAATGTTGTACTCAACTCCACCCGAGTACCCAACTCATGCTGTACGACCCTCCAAAACCGTGATGTGAACTGAGTACCTCTATCTGAAATGATGGAAAATGGAATACTATGCAGACGAACAATCTCCCGGATATTAATCTCCGCCAGACGCTCCGAAGAATAGGTAGTACACACAAGAATAAAATGCGCGGACTTGGTCAGCCGATCCACAATCACCCAAATGGCATCAAACTTTCTCAAAGTTAGTGGGAGCCCAAAGTACAAAGTCCATGGTGATCCGCTCCCACTTCTACTCTGGAATCTCTATCTGCTGAATCAACCCACCCGATCTCTGGTGCTCATACTTCACCTGCTGACAATTGAGGTAACAAGCTACAAACACAACTATATCTTTCTTCATCCTCCTCCACCAATAGTGCTGCTCCAAATTCTGGTACATCTTCGCGGCACCCGGATGAATGGAATACCGCGAACTATGGGCCTCCTGTAGAATCAACTCCCGTAGCCCATCAACATTGAGTACACAAATCCGACCATGAATCCTCAATACCCCATAATCACCAATAGTCACATCTCTGGCATCACTGTGCTGAACCTTATCCTTGAAGACAAGCAAATGAGGGTCATCAAACTGACGCTCCCTGATACGATCAAATAAGGAAGACCGAGAAACCATGCAAGCTAGAACTCGACTAGGCTCCGAAAGATCCAATCTCACAAACTGGCTGACTAAGGCATGAACATCTATTTCCATGGGCCTCTCCGTTGTTGGTAAATAAGCCAAACTCCCCAAACTCTTTTCCCGACGACTCAAAGCATCGGCCACCATATTGTCCTTGTCCGGTGATACAAAATAGTGATATCATAGTCCTTCAACAGCTCTAACCACCTCCTCTGGCACAAATTAAGATCTTTCTGCCTGAACAGATGCTGCAAACTCCGGTGATCAGTATAAATCTCACAAGGCACACTGTAAAAATAATGATGCTAGATCTTCAAGATGTGAACAATAGCAGCTAGCTCGAGATCATGGACAGGATAATTTTTCTCATTTACTTTCAACTGTCTGGATGCGGAGGCAATCACCCTACCGTCCTGCATCAGCACCGCTCCAAGGTCAATCATCGAGGCATCACAATAGATGGTATAAGACCCCAAACCTATAGGCAATATCAAAATTGGGGTTGTATTCAAAGCTGTTTTGAGCTTCTGAAAGCTCGCCTCACACTCTTCCGTCCACTGGAACTGAGCACCCTTCTGGGTCAACCTGGTCATAGGGGCTACAATTGATGAAAAGCCCCTCAACAAAATGACGGTAATAACCCGCCAAGCCATGAAAACTGCGGATCTTTGTAGATGAAGATGGTCTGGTCCAACTCTGCACTGCTTCCACTTTCTTCGGATCCACCTAAATACCCTCACTCGATACCACCCTAAGAATGAAATGGAATCCAACCAAAACTCACATTTCGAGAACTTAGCATATAACTTCTTTTCCCTCAAAGTCTGGAGCATTGTCCTCAGGTGTTGCTCATGATCTTCCCGACTCCGGGAATACACCAGAATATCATCAATAAAGACAATGATGAACGAGTCAAGATATGGCCGGAACACACTGTGCATCAAATGCATAAAGGCTACTGGGACATTGGTCAGCCCAAATGACATAACAAGAAACTTGTAATGACCATACCGAGCCCTGAAAGCAGTCTTCGGGATATCTGGCTCCCGAATCTTCAACTGATGGTAACCTGAGCGCAAGTCAATCTTAGAAAACACTCGTGCGCCCTGAAGCTAGTCAAACAGATCATCAATACGAGGAAAAGGATAACGGTTCTTCACTATAACTTTTTTCAGCTGGCGATAATCAATGCACATACGCATCGAACCATGCTTTTTCTCAGTAATAAGACAGGAGCACCCTAAGGTGATACACTGGGCCAAATAAAACCCTTGTCAAGCAATTCTTGTAACTAATCCTTCAACTCCTTCAACTCAAGAGGAGACATATAATACGGAGGAATAGAAATGGGCTGAGTGCCCAACAACAAATCAATGCCAAAATCAATATCTCTATCGGGTGGCATGCCTGGAAGGTCAACTGGAAACACATCAGAAAAATCCTGTGCTACAAGGACTGAATCAACTGAAGGGGTATCAATACTGACATTTCTTACATAAGCTAGATACACGAGAAGAAATAAACATAACCATTTGTTGAGCCTTAAGGAAAGAAATAACTCTACTGGGAGTGTGATCTAAAGCACCCCTCCACTCAACACGCGGTATACCTGGCATAGCCAGCGTCACGGTTTTGGCGTGACAATCAAGAATAGCATAATGGGGCGACAACTAGTCCATGCCCAAGATAATATCAAAATCTATCATGCTGAGCAATAATCACTATAACAAAAAAACTTTTAGCGACAATTATTTTGGTCTTTAACGACAATAAAAATAGCCGCTAAATCTTTTGTCGGCAATTAGATAATAATCGGTGTATCCAGTGTCGGCAAAGGCTTTACCGGCCATCACGCAAAGTGTTGGTAAACACTCCAATTATTGCCGCTAAAGGTGTATAAATTTTAGTAGCCAATGTTTACTGGTAATTAAATGGCCAGTAAAATCGTTTTAGTATTTCATAGGCCATGCAATTAGCAGCCTATATTTTGCCATTAAAACCCAACGTACTACTAGTAAAAGAGGACTTTCTAGTGGTAATTATAATGGCCGGTAGCACAAAAAATTAATAATATTTTTATTGTAAAATTGAGAGATTAGTCATGTCTATTTATATTCAATAATAATAATAATAATAATAAGCATGAGAAATTTTATCAAATTCACAACAAACAAAAATAACTATTAATCTATAATTTCAAAAGTGTTTTTTTGAGCAATAATTTATAAAGTGTCAACATGATAAAAAACTAAATTATTTAAATCCTATATTTAGTGTCATTTTGTGTCTAATAACTAGTGTTTGAAATAGCTACAACACTATACAATACACAGCGTATAAAAACTTCTTCAAACTCTTGATCAAAATAAAGTCTTCCGCATGCCAAATTTTGAACATCATGTACGACCTGAAATGATAAAATAAAGTAAATATCAACATGACTAGGTAATAAAATATAGTCTTATTTCTGAGTGATAACTTAATGTAACATTAAAAAAATTATGCACTTTTTACAAACAGTCTAATTGCAGTACCCATCAAATTACGAGCCATATGATTTTCTAATAGAATTGCTAATAGAACCACTTCTTCACGAAACCCCAGAAATCTTTACCTACTCTCATGAGCTCATCAACAGTGATCCGATCGTTCAGTACCTACAATTGACCATACAGAAGCCAAGACATAAATTTTAGTCTCTTGCATAAACTCACAATATGCAAAATTTATAACAAAGAAACCAAAGGTAAATCATGAGAGCCATACAGGTGAATAACAAAGCGAAACTACTGAAATTTATTTATGTATGCAATACCATGGGGTTTGTTTAATTAATGTTCCTATATTCCACATTAAGTTTAATAAAAACACTTGATTGACTTTTCTCTACTAACGTGATTGATTGCCTAGAACCAATCTACGAAAGAAATTTAAACTATAATAATTCTACACAAGTAACGTGGCCTATGCTCACTTTTATATTAAAAAGATCAAATTCCAATAAGTCCGTCTCTGCTCTTCTCAAATGCAGAACATAAATCCTCATTTCACTTTGTTGTTGGGACCAATTTTATTTCAGCCATTGCGGTATGCAGACAACATCCCATTGTATGGTTAAGATGACGACGACAACAACAACAATAACAGTAACAACATACCAAATGTAATCCTAAAAGTGAGGTTTGTAGAGTGTGGGGTATATACAAACCTTACCTATACCACGGATGAGATAGAGAGGTTATTTCCGATAGAGCCTTGGCTCGTTGTATAATTAAGAATTGCAACAAAATGCAAAGCTCATATTCAAATACATATACCAAAATAGAACAAGCTTGTACTACTAGTCCACAACGACATGAAATATTTAATAACATAAAACATGCTCCTCGAGTTTGAATCCCACTAATAACAGGAGCATAACACCAAATCTAAACAAAATAAATAATATAAGAGAAGTGTTGTAGCTCTTACTGGTCAAAATCTCAAATTTGATGATGATTTTCTTCATCTCTATCTTTATCCTCTCCCTTTCCTTTTTGTCATTTCGATTCATGTGATGATCTCTGTGATGACAATCATGATACTTCTCCCTTTCTTTATCTAATTTCCTACCCATGTACCGGTCTCTGCATATCCTCGTTCTTAAGCCAAATAAATCTTGTATATTCCATATATGAAATTTCACAATCACCTAGAGAAGTATTCATGAGTTACATCTCATCAAAGCAGATAAAAGATTTATTTGAACAATTAAAGGTAGTTCAAAGAAATAAACTTCAAATGGACCTCTAAGAGATAAATGCAGCATTCTATCGTAAGCTTAATCCCAACAAAGTTTCCAAAATCAGAACTTTCATTCTTTCTTTTTCTCTATTTCTTTTATTATTTGATAAAGATGGCGTACGGACCAGCTTTACAGCCTATTATAGCCTACAGGATGACATATGCTGAGTGTTGTAGTAAAATTCGAACTTGAAATCTCAAGGTTTTTCTTTCTATGTCTCAACTGCTCATTCACCTCTTAAAAGAACTTGACTTAAAAAAAATACATATGCTAGGTGAGAATAAGGATCGTGTCACATAAAGAAACCCAGCACCTGTAATCATCGGGTGCATTTCGAAAGATTTTGGGTTATCTTAACTGGCTTGCCAAGAAAAGACACGAGAAAAAAGTAAAAATTGCATAATGTCCATTTAACAACTGAATAAGTCATGTGACAATGTTAAAACAATAAATTATCTATCAAGAGTATCTGAGATTCCCAAGTTTATCTATAGATGATGGAGTACATTTCATCTTACCGGAATTGCCAAGTACTTAAATGAACCAAATAATCAATCCCATTTAGAAAATAGCATTCAACATTGATGTCCCACGGATCTAACACTTTAAGTAGCTTAAAGCTTTTCTGAATGAGGCTGAAATTACTATACGATTTGGTATGATCATCAATAGCAGCAACGACTAGTACAGAATATACTCGTTGACCAAAACGATTTGAGGATATACACTAATTCCATTTGGAATAAATGTAGAGCCGCCAATGCAAGTGCATTTCCAGACACAGAGAACTGGAATAGTTAGATCAAGCAAAATAATTACCATACCCATATAAAGTCTATGTGTCAAATGCTTGTAAATAAGAAAACGGACATGATAATATGATGTTCCTCGGTCATCACATCTTCTGGAACATCTTGTTGGTAAATACAATACCAAACTAAAATATACATTTTTCGAAGAAACCTACAAGTTTTGACTAATATTCTGAGACCATTGGAATCAACAACCAAGATATACACTTATAAATTCTCATATTACAAGTGAACATTGAAAGAATAGTAATAACAAAGAAGTATGTAAAGAAAAAATCCCTATTCATAGAATAATTCAAGTTCTAGAAAAATCTACTTCAATAATTCACACCTGAATTACGCAGCATTTTGAGCAATCCCCAATAGTATAGAAATTATTAACATATTTGAAATTCTAGAAATCAAAATATCAAAAACTAAAGGTCCTCCCATTTCAATAGAAAGTACATAGTGACAAAAAATAATAATTTGAAAAAATACCTTCCCGGCTTTCTCCATCACTTCCCTCATCTGTGTCTTCCTCTGTAATGCAAAAGAACAACCAACAGATCGAACTTCCTTGAGAGCAGAAAAAGAGGCACTACTGCCAACTTGGTTTGTGAGAAAGGAATGACAGAGAAAAAGTTCAGATGAGAGTTAGTTAGCATCCATGGTGGCTAATGGCCTTTACGATGGTGAGAAACAGGTGATATGTGGAGATAGACGTGAGGGATGGAAAAGGTAATCTATGAAATCAATATTTCAAAGAGGGAAAAGTTTGATTTTGATGGGAAAAAAAAGAATGGAGGGAATCTAAAAAAATTAGAGGTAAGATGAAATAATGAAAGAGGCTTCGTATTGCGTTGTATGGCTTTTACTGACCATTCATTTCAATTGTCGGAGAGAATAACTTATTCCTGACAAATATTCATTTGCCACTAAATAGCTAGGTTTAAATAATACATTAGCGGCAATTAACGAATCGTCAGTAAATAATTGCAACTAAAAGCTTATTTTCTAGTAGTGAATAAATCGGCTCTAATCTCAAAACCACTAAGAGCAACCAAACACGACCGATAAATGCGGTCAACAATAAGAGAATCTCCCATAGGAGTAGAAACATAAATATGAGAACTCAAAGAATCCCGAAGTATAACCAAATACGGAGCAAAATAAGAAGACACATAAGAATAAGTGGAGCCTGGATCGAATAGAACTGATGCATCTCTATTAAAAACCAGTACAATACCTGTGATGACAGTATCGGACGCAACAACCTAGGTACAGGCAGGAAGAGCATAGTATCTGGCCTGGCCTTCCCCCTCTAGGGCGGCCTCTACCTCCCCAATCTCCACCTCTAGCTGGCTGAGCAGGTGGGGTAGCAACTGGAGCTATAACCATAGCCTAAGAACTCTGCGGGGCACGCTGTGGCTGAGAAGTCTGTGGAGGAGAACTCCTCCCAAGTCTAGGGAAATCCCTCACCACGTGGCGTGTGTCACCATACTCAAAGCAAGCCCTGGTAGGATACGGCAGTTGTGACTGGCTCGGGCCAAGTCTGCTCGATTGATCTCTGAAAGCACCCCACGCAGGAGAAACATTAGACACTGGAGGTGCATAATAAGCCTCTTGAGGCCTAGGAAGAGCTGGAATACCACTGGCTGCTAGAAGAGCTGAATGAACGGGGTGACTCATATAACCCCTACCATGACGACCTACAGCTGGGGCACGGGCACCAGAGTGGCCTGACTCTCGAGACCTCTTGGCCTCCCTCTCCTCTCTATCCCTAGCATGCATTCCCTCAATCCTCCTAGCAATGTTCACCACCTGCTGATAAGAAATATCCATCTCCAACTCATGA